GGAAATAAAGCCAAAACAGAAACTGAACCCTTTAGCCTGTTGTGATTTGAATGTGCAATGTCCCCTACAGGCTCAGCTGGTGGCACTGTTTGGGGTATGAAACTTTTAGGAGGTGGAGCCTCGGTAGAGGAAATATATCACTGGGGGTTAGTTTTGAGGTTCTATAGTCTCACATGAAAGTGATTGGCCAGCCTCATTTCCCTGCTATGACGGCTTCCCCAGCATGATGGACTGTATACCTTCCGGACCTATAAGCCAGTGAATTCTGTCCCAACAACAGAAAAGTAGCTAATCAGCTTCTCTTACTGGAGTTGCTCTTTTTTTAAAAAAAAAAAAAATTTATTTATTATTTTTATTTTATGTGTATGCATGTGTTGCCTGCATGTAGATAAGTGCACCTGTGTCATGCAATGCCTGCGGAAGACAGAAGAGGCTCTTGGATCCCCTGGAACTGGAATATGGACAGTTGTTAGCTGCCATTTGGGTACTGAGATTCGAGCCTGGGTCTTCTGCAAGAACAGTCAGTGTTCTTAACCACTGAACCATTTCTCCAGCCCTGGAGTTGCTCTTCTATATCATAACTATGCACAGATTTCTTTTCTATTCCATGGCTCTCTTATTATGTAATTATCCCAGAACTCGCATATGACACTGAGCTTCTGAAAAAAAAAAATGCCTCTTACTCTTTCCATTTTGTGAAAGCATTGTTTGGCAAGGTCCTTAGGAAAATTGCTGTGCAGCCTGTAAATAAATTTTTATGTCTGGAAAAAGTACTATTTATACTATAAATTGATACAAAAGTAATGAATGGACACATTTCATTCTGTCCTAAAATAGGAGGACTTGTTTCAGAACACTTAACATGGTAATAAATCTACCACATCATTCCAAAAGCCACACCTGACATGCACCTAGATGTGTGGAGGTGTGTGGAAATGTTGAAGGGGCCATACATTAATCATGTTATAAATGATCTAGATTGAGAAACATGCTTTGTCTGTTGACTGTGTTAACAACAGCCTTCACTCCCAGGAAGGACACAAGGCCTACAATGTGCTATGCTGCAAACTGTAAACCTGTTGGTGGGAAGATATGTGCTAAGAAGGCTGTGCCTTAGTCCTTAGTAGACTACAGCTGTGCTTTCTAATTAGTGCTCTACTAAATGCATGACTAAGCAAAAAGAAATACTGGGTTACAGTTAGTATGCTGATATTTTTTTCTGCAATATCATCTGGAATTCTGAGTTATGAATAATACAAAAAATAAGTTTGAATTACTGATGTATATTGACAGTGGATGTGATTTTACATCTTTATTAAATCCCGTGAAAACCTAGAAAGTATTTTTTTACATGCTCTAAGTTCCAAGAAACTTACTAGATATTTTTCTGGTACTCAACACAGCTAATCAAAAGTCTATTTAGTAACATAAGATTTAACTTACAAGAAATTCGCTTACACAATGAATCTATTATCATCAGTCTTGCATGCCAGTTTGATGGGATTGAGAATCACCTAGGAGACACACCTCAGGGTATGTCTGTAAACACTTTTCTATAGAGGTTTAACCAAGGACGCTGAATGTGTGTGGCACCATTCCATGGTCTGGAATCCTGAATGGAATTAAATGTGAAAATGATCAGACATTCATCTCCCCCTGCTTCCTGACTGTGGATGCATTGTGACTAGCCACCTTACCTTCCTTCTGTCATACTTTCCACACCATGACAGACTGTACCTGCAAATTGTGAGCCAAAATAAACCTTCTCTCTTAAATTGTTTTTGCCAGGTATTTTATCATAGCAATGAGAAAAAATAATTAGCACAGACACATAAAGGAAGTGTATGTGGATAAGTTATAGTCTTGTTATTTTAAATTTTTTTCTTTTGTTTTATTTCTGGTATCCAATAATAAGAGATTAGAAACAAATTA